TTAATGTGTTCTATTGCTTTATACTTAAAGTTTCAGTGGAGGTAGAAGTGGACAGCAAATGAAAGAAATTTCAGAATTGTGTGCCAGAGTCACATATTATACACGTTTGTGTCTGACAGAGTAGAGACTCAATGTTGTGGCTCCTGCTGCTGAAAAAGAGAGGCGCTGGTCTCTTACCTACATCCCGCGCTTCCAGTATGAGAGTAAACTTGATCCTTATTTTGACCAGATTGTCAGTGAATGAAAATCTTCCCATACCAGGCAAGAAAAGTAGTCATTGCTGATGGAAAGGGTCTTCAACCTGTAGCGGCTCAGTGTTCCCCTGAACATGAAGGAGCGGGGAGTCAATACTCAGTGTTTTCTTGGCTCAGATATTAAAAATATAAATTAACCACATCGGTGGAGAGTGTGAATTCTTGTTTAGGTGCATGCTATCAACATATATGGACAATTGATATCAAAAAGTATTTTGATATTTTAAATATTTTATTTGAATTTTAAAGGTGTCTAACAAAGGTAAAACTAGATGGCATTTTTTCATTCTTATGACTTTAGGGTAAAATCCTGGGCTAATCTTATCAAAAAAATACGTGAAAACACTGCTCTTTTAGCCTAGGGACATTGAATTATGTAACCAAGTTTTTCCCTTTCAATTGGTAAATAAAAGGTCAAGGGCCACATTGTGAAGCATCTGAAGTCTGTGTCACTTTGGTGGTTGGTTCAGTGTGTGATGCTGTCTTACGTTAACTTCATGCTTATTTTATTTATTATAACATCATTGCAATATCTGTAACTGTTTCTTCATATGGCACAAGTTTTGGGCATGTAGTTAGGACGTGCAGGGTGATTAAAAAGAGCTGGCAAAGTTTAGCCATATGTACATGTAACAAATGAAAGGGACTCTGCAACTTTTAACAACCAGTTCACTTGGCAGGTCAGTGACTGACACTATTTCCCCGTCCACGAAGACTGCACAGCACTCTGACTCTTTTCCTTCTGGGCTTTGCGTACTCACTACCAACTAAAATTGGCACGCGGTGTGACATCTCTACTTTAGAGACTTTTTTTTTGCATACTTAATTTCAAAATTGTTTTGCATTTTTATTACAATTTAGCCAATTAAAATTGGCTTCTAGTGTTGTCAACGTAGCCTATACCTTCATTCTTATGTAAAATGCCATAAAATAAAATAGTACACCATATCAACAGTACATAGGTTTAAAAATAATTTAAGTAAACCATGGGTGTCTTCTAAGATTGAGGAACTAAGTTTTTTTTTTCTCTCAGATTATTGATTTTTTTTTTTTGGTGGGGTTAAGTTTTATTTCACAAATATAAACACAGAAAAGGTAAGAAATACAATACCACTGTTCAAAATAAATAAAGACTTTCAAGAAGAGAAATACTACTCTGGCCCTTAAAGATGCCTGAAACCTTTGTCTAGGTGTGACTTCGCCATGTTTTGTGTACAGAAAATGATTTCCACATGTCCCGACTATTTTACAGCCAAAACATTTGTGCACGGGTTGGGTGAATGTTCCCATAGGGTACATTCTCTTAGTTTCAAGCCATGAATAGAAAGGCTTTGGATTGTGGAAAAGAATTTGTCTTCATTGAGCATGTGTGTGTGAGTGTGTGTGTCTTTCAGAGTTTTAAAATGGTATTAAATTCATTAACCTGTTATATGTCTTTAAATGAAAATATCATTAACAGTGCTGATGAGTGAATATAAATCAATATTATATTGTAGACAACATAAATATATAGGGGAAGTGGCTATAAAAATATGTGAAATTTATTTTCATATGTGTCTTACAAAATCTCAGTGGTCCAAATATGTTGCTTTGCTTTCCTGCACTTTCAACTCCCCAGAGTAATGCCCCATACCAAAGTCAAGCAATTTTGAAAATTAAAAACATATTTTATTAATAGCTCAAATACAGGAAGAACACAACAGCCTTTCCTGGTGATGTAATTGAACATGATGATTTGAATTAAGAATATGCTAACATCTGGTAGTTCCCAAAACATGGCCTATTAGAAATGGAATAGGCTAATCTCTGAAGTAATATTCATACTTTCTATATATTTTTCTTATAAAGAATTCTAGTTCTTCAGCGGAAATCAGTAAAATTAAAAAGAAAATAAGAGCGTATTTGGCTTTATGGCTATGTTCAGATTTACCAGAAATGGCAATCATACAAAAAGGACTTCTGGAGCCCTTAGTGTCACACTGGAGTTAAGAAAAAAAAAATTATCTTTCTTGACCTTTCTTATAGAAACATGCTTCCCCCAGATCACAACAAAAGTAATATGTATTTCGGTCATGATTCAGTTTTGCATAAAGCACAAGAGATAATTGCTTGGATATAAAGTTAAAGTAGGAACCTTAAACAGGTCCTTTAATGATGCCTTGCTATTAAGACACTGTCAGTCTCTGAAAGGAATTAAATTATATTGTGGCAATTTGAAATGTTTACATGTACATGCACAAACCAAAATTTTTTTAAAGAAGAAAAGAAAAATGTACCAAATTTCTTTGATTTCAGTTTTCAAGAGAGGCCTCAACAGGGGGTTTTCACATGATAAATGCATAAAGACAACCTAATAACAGCTTGCTTTGTTGCAGAATTAGGAAAGGAAAACGGTGGAAATGAGCATGTCACATGGTTCTTAAAAAAGGATGGTTCGTTTTTAGGACTAAGAATTACAGAATTCTGGGGGGAGACAGGAGAGTGGACAATTACTAGGAAGGTTCTGGAAGTCATTTCTAGAGTCATTTCCAGAGCATCGTGCCCATGCTGGATATTATCCTCTCCCTCCAACCCCAGCTTTCTGTTTAGAGGCCCTCAAGAACAAACATGTCTTAGTAATGTTTTGGTTTTATTATTTTCCAGAGACCGTGCCCTGTGTTTTCTGTTCTTTACTTTTCCATCACGGGTCTGTGCCAGCTGAACTCGGAGCAAGATGATCTTCTTTTCTCCAGGTAAGAGTTCACCTCTCAGTCAGTTAATAGACAAACGAACATTCTCTTGTATACCCAAATTTATTTTTTGCAAATTGTTTTTTTGTATGCTCTCAAAAGTTTAGAAAAAATAAGAATAAGACATATAACTCATATATTATTTGTAATTTGCTATATTTTGCTTTGTCGTTTTATTCCTCCCTCCCCCTACCCCGTCTCTACAAACACACACAAACACACAGATGTACAATTTACATTATTAATTTTTTTAAGAATCATTTAGGAGTAAGTTGGGGACACTGTGCCTCCAACTCACTTCAAATCATTTCAAAGGTGTTGCTGTTCCTGTATTTATGACACCCTCTTCCTGAGAAATAAGGAGTCTGGTTCCCATTCTGTTTAATACAGACACTCATTTGCTGAAGTCAAGAATACATGAGAAGCACTTTCAGAATTGTTCATCACATTACTACAAAACACAAACTTACAAGATAGAGTTAAGATTTTGTTTGCAGCTTTGTCCACATATAATTTGTATACAGCAGAGTAGAAAAATCTAAAGTATACAATGTGTTAGGGTTTGACAAATTCATGCACTTGTTTATGGACACACTTAGCAGGATCTAGAAATCTTCCATTATCTTGCTCCTTGACAATCAGTCTTCTCAAAGCAAATTAACCAAAAAGTAAATAGAAAAAATGAAGTAATGAAGTAATACAATAAATCAGTAAAATAGTAAAACAGGCAATAGAGAAACCAACAAAACTTAAATCATAGAATACATCAGGAAAATTATTAATAAATCCCTAGCTAGATTGATCAGGATTAGACATAGAGAATCCATGAAAGCAGATGTTTAGCATAATAAAAGAGAAAGGAATGTAGTGAGCATGTTACACAATTTTTCCATGTAAATAAAAGGGACACATTACTGGAAGACATAACAATATTAACAGAAGAAGAATTAGAAAATTGGACTAGTCTTATATCTGTTAAGGAAACTCAATTCAAAATTTTAAAACAAATACATTCCTGTGATTCAGTGCCAACAAAACCTTTAAATATGAAAACAATACAAATCACTCCACAATTTTTTAGGAAATAAAGGAGGACAATCATATTTCATGTTACAAGACCAAGAGACTCTAATGCCATAACTAGACAAAAACATTACAGTTTAAGAAAATCTATAGCCTAGTGTCCCCCAGAGCACAAATAAAGTTTAACAATATATAAAACAGAGTAATACCAAGTGGAGTATCCTACCATCATGAAAAGTTGGCTTAATATTAAAAAAGCAGTTAGTGTAATGTTTTCCATTAACATGACAAAAGAAAAACGAACTATCATCTCAATAGAGGCTGAAAACTATTTAACAATATTCACCCACTTATGACTTAAGATAATATAAAAAAATCCCCAGTGAAATAGGATTTCTTGATAAAAGCCATCCATAGAAAACTTACAGTTGGCATTGCACTTAATGTTGGAGAACATGCTCTCCTTAATAAGACTGGGAGGAAGGCCAAGCTTTTCACCTTTGAAACTTTTATTTTAAATCTTGCAATCTGCGGTCATCAGAACAGCATTTCCTGGGAGAATGGTTAGGATTGATTGAGAAGACACAACAGAAATTTTGTTAGGGTAAGGCTTCCTTAGATGAATTCATTGTAATCTATGCATTTTGATGTATGTAAATTATATTTTGATACAATCTTAGTCCATTCTCTTAAACCACTCAGCTTTTTAGTATTTTTCTTCTATTTTGATGGCAACATTTTAAAATTTCCCTACTTCTTCAAGTGATAAGGAAATTTCTATAACTTCTAAAGACCCGTACTTTGTATCAAGTGTGAGTGTGGGCTGAATCCTGTAATTTGCTTCCAGCCATGGCGTGTGGCACAGGTGATGGAGATGACGCCTATGATTATGTTCTATTATATAAAAAAGATAAGGGATCTGGCAGGTGTAAAGAAGGAACCCAATCAATTGTGTTTGACTTAAATCAAAAGGAGGCCCCTACCCAGGTGGGCTTGGCTTAATCAGATGTACCCTTGAGGCAGAATGAAGTGCTTTTGATCCAGTCTTCTCTTATGTTTCATCCTTGAAGTGGTGAGACGATTTTCCAAATGGGAAAAGTGAGAGTCAAAGGTGGCCACAGGACTTGCTTAAGTTAACTTAGCTGGCGATCTCTACAGCCTGCATGTGATCTTAAGTCATCTAACTGTGTCTCTTTAGGACCTGCATTCTAGTTGTTCACATGAGGAAACTTCCTTTCTCAGTACACTCAGTGAACATTTACTGTGTAATTAGAGTCTGAGACAAATTATCTCGGAATTCTGGGAAACCAGATGCTAACTCCTGGTACGTGACTCTGGAGCTGTTCATGTATATTTTAGCCTCTTTGGGAAGCAGCATGAAATGTGCCCCTTTTGTTCATTTCCACAATTTCATATTTTCACACACTCACACACACACACACACACACACACACACACACACACACACACCCTTACTTCTTATGACAGCCCTCAGGTGTGTGTGTAAGGGTTCTGGGATTACATAGGTCAGAGGATGCAGCTTCTTTATGGGAGAAGAGAAGCTAGTTGCCCACCTAGGCATGTATTTTCCTGAGCTTGCGTTATCCTGGGTATTTCTGGAAAAGCTCTCTTCTTTCAAATGTGTTGGAGTTTGTGTTTTCACTTCTCTTGATTCATTAACATAAGTCTATTGGCTTCTAATCTTAGGAATCCTTCCCAATCTCTGGCACACCAGTGATGTTCTGTCTTATCTAGTTGTCCATCTTCTCTTTGGTAACTTTCTCAGTGTTAATTCTACCAATTGTTCTGGAGTTTCATTTGTGTCTTCATCTTGGGTGGAAATGGATTCTCTCCCTTTGCTTATTTTTAGTCCCACCTAGTCATTTTATAGTTTTCTCTATGAGGTCCCATTCATTCTCAGGTCAGATCTTGTGTTGGCGCCTTATAACTCCCCACCCTGGTGTTTTCCAGCAGACTGAGGTACTGAGTCAGGATTCTCACCAGATTATTGCAGATACAGTGAGAGGCCAGGATGTGCTTCCTATGCCTGCAGTTCAGCATAAGAGTCCTGGGGCCAGCCCTCCACTGCACAGGGAAGTTTGATCTCTCACCCACAGATTCTAGACCTGGGTGCCATCAAATCCAAGGTGCCATGGTCCTTGTTGTTGACTGTATAAATGGGTCTTCATGTTTGCTTGCTTCTAGTCCAGAAAAATGCCACCATCTTGCTTTCTTTAACTTTAATTTAAAAAATATTGTTTATCAATTGTGTTTGTAGCCAGGGGTATTCCTAAAAAGCATGAAGTCACAAGCCCTCTTGCCCAGAAGCCCTGGGATTTCTTTCTCTAATTGGATCATCTGTTCGATGCAAATGACTACAAAAGACTCCTCCTTCTCTGTGTTTTAAGAGTTCCTGTGTTTCTGATAAAAATAATCTGTAATTAATTTATTCAGTTCAGCGAATGTTTAACAGCAGGACGAAAACTCTCAAATCGCACTTTGTGCTAGCCAGCTCAAGGGCCGGACAGATGCCAAAATATTTTTCATTTGTGTTTTGGTGTTTCATATTTGCTAAATATGAGCCATTATGTGATATATTTACATATATATGATGAACATGAATCAAAACATTTTACTTCAGATTTTCTTAATTGGTTGTGGAAGGAAAAATGTCTTTAATCTTGTTTGTAAATGATGTTTAATTTTCTTAGTGTTAATTGGTGGCAATGCGAAAGACTCCTTCCTAGTTGGTAAAAACACATACAGGAAGATCTTATTTATGGGTTTAATATCCTTAGTTAATGATTCTAGCACCTGGAGCTATTCTTGCGTGCAACTTGATAAGTGGTAATACTAGTAAGGTGAGTTGCTATGTCTTGTAAATTATAGATCTGCAAGTTCTAAGGGCAAAAATTTGTGGGTGAATGAATTAATCAAATAAATGTTTGGCAAAACATTTCTATGCAGAGTAATCAGACGTTTTTCATAAATACGTCCTGTCAGGCTAATCTAGACTATTATAGGGGACAGACAAGCATGTTACATCAATGGGAAGTGATAACTATGTGAGAATTACCAGAATAAAATCAGCAGGGTTATAACAATCTTTTGTAATAAAAGGCTTAGCATTTAAAACAAAATCAATTGCATTTGAGAGACACAAATATTGTCCACCTGTCTCACACAAGCCCTCATGTTAGTTCCACAAGGTTAAAAAAAGCCTCTTCAAATTGTATTTACGCATGTATTCAAAATAAAGACAATAACCTTATGATTGAAATCACCCAGATTTGTGACAAGTGCTCCTTTGATGAAAGGTTGATCTAGCTGCATTCGGGGCTTAGTGAGTGCTCAAAAGGCAATCACACAACAGTCTTTATTCAAACATTTCCACTTCAATGCCATAAACACACACCCACCCACGTTTGTGTGGGGAACCCAGCATCAGGGAGGGACAGCTGAATTCTACCAAAGCTTTCCAGATGCTTCAATCGCATGACTTTGAAAATGTAGAAGGCATGGAAACATTATCCTTTCCTTGCGAGAGTTCTTTCTTAGGAACATGAACAAAAGCAAACACTGCTATCCCCACCTTCCTGCCTCACGTACCTTCTGACTTCTACCATCCAGCCAGGATGGAGGAGGATATAACTTTTGACACCTGCAGGAAAATTTGTTTGTGCTTTGAAATAAGCAATCCGATTAGTCTTACTATTATTTGGTCTTGCCTCATTCAGGTGGTATTGGTGTCTATAAAGCTACATGGACATTATATTACTCAACTTTCCTGTGGCAGTAAAAAACTACACTTTTATTAATTGTAGGTTGTTAGGGAATTATTTTTTGTGGCTTCCAGAACAAAAAAGAAAAGGAGAAGAAAGAAAAGAAAGGAAAACAACAAAGAAAAAATTTAGCAACAAAATGTTCCACAAAAGGATAGAACTGTACTGAATGATATGTAGAATATGGCTAGAATTATTTTGTCCTTTGTCACATAGCATAGCTACTGCTATAAAAGGTAGGATTAGCATAAAGAAGCAGAGGACATGGACATGATGAAAAAATTACAGTCTAATGACTGGAGCTCTCTGGGAAAACATTTATTTCTAAAATAAATTTGGGGAGGGATAGATAATATGGAGAGAACCATATAAAGGTTCACAATAATTAGGAAATATGTTTTAGGAATATGTGATTTTGCAGTGGTAGGACATGCATATATGGGAAATATGAAAAAAAGTTACACTTGGTGTCCATCCACTTCTAAGCCATAGTACAGTATTGACATTGAACAAGTGATTAAATCCCTTTGAGTCTGGATTGAAAAGTGAATTGAAAGCATTGTTTTCAAGTGTGAATTCCTGTCAGTGAGGTCAGTGCCAATTAATCCAAGTTATCTGTGGCAAGTCAGTGAATTCCTCCAGGTTTCTGTAAATGGAAGGTAGGAACAAGGAGCAAAAGTATCTTGTATGGAATCTATCACACTAGGAAGCAAAATTTCTTTCAAATAATGATTTTTAAATGTTATAATTACTTTGAAAACTAATGAGACAAGAATTTTTGAAAAATCAGCAGAACTCTTCTTTGGTAAAAGGGTAAAATGGTCAAGTGGTCAGCTATCAGAGCTAGAAGCCTCCTGTGAGGTCTTCTTGCCTACTGCTTCGCACAGTGTGATCTTTGGACCTAGAAAATTACTAGAGAGAGAAAAAAATGATGGAAAGTGGGATCATTTCTGGGCAAGGTGGTTAAAGAAAATCTTTAAGCACTTAAAAATTATGTTTTGTTGCAATATATTTCAGGCCTTTTTATATAAATGTGCACTTTTAATTTCTAAAAGAAGGTAGTCCTCAAATTACCACCTGTGTGGAGTATGTGCACTCGTATGTAGTGTGTGAGTGTGCTTGTGTGTCTCTACAAATGAACGTTCTATGGGAGACTTAAAATTCTGTTTACTTCACTCTCCCATCTTCTAATGATGGAAACTGAGGTTTCAGCAGACTGAGTGTGCACCCCGTAGTGCTCCTGGAGCTTGTACTGCTGAAGTATTCCTCACATCTGCTCTACTTAATTGCAATGCCAATAGTGCTGTTTTGCAAAGGGCTCACAGCACCATGGAATTTTAAACTTGAGTTTCAGCACCCTAATTTTAGCCAGCAGGTCCCTAAAATAGAAGACATTCATTGTTGGCCCCAGAGCTAGAAGTGCGATATAGACTTTGTTTGCCTTAAGGAACATCCTTTTATGAGAGAGATCAGGAAAAGTTTAGGGTGGAGCTGTCCAGATTAGGGCAGATGGTGATCTTAGATGCAGTAGATCTGAGTGGGGCATGAGAGGTCCCATTTCTGCTGTTGCCTCCTTGAAACATAGTTCTGAGTAGCAAGGGGCTGGGCCATGGACAAATGAGGTATGTTTGCTGTGTGTCTGTGTAGGGAAAAGAGCAGGCGATAGGTGTGGAGCCCAGGCCAAACGTCCTCACTGTTTCTTCAAAGTTGTGATGAAGAGGAGAGATAGAGACAGAAAATTGCCAATAAAATACTGGAATTGAATGTAAG